CCCCGGCGGCGCCCGGGGTGCGGCCCTTTCGCCGTCGCCCCCTGGCCCGGCCGCGGCCCATAAAACGGCCGCGGCCGCCTGGCGACGCCGGCCCAGGAATGCCCCGCGGCCTGGGAGCTGCGGCAACACGGCCGCCTCGCCGGGGCCCTAGCCGGCGGGGCGCCGCCGCCAGCGAGCTTGCCCCCTCCCCCGCGCCCCTCTTCTGCCAGGCCTCATGTGAAAGCGACGGCCCCGGGAGCGGCCGAATGTTCTCGCCCGGGCGGAGGCCTCTCGCGGGCTGGTGCGGCGCCCGCGTCCCGATCGCGACGGCCTCTCAAGCCCGAGGCGCGCCGCGCGTGTGCCCTCGCGACCCCCCCCCCGGGTGCATGTGTGTGGTCCTGAGATGCGCGTGTCCCCCCGGCGGCCGGAGGCATCCAGTTCGGTGCTCTGCCGAGCACATGACCCAGGGCAAGGACATTCCCGCGGAGCCATCGTGATCCGATCACACGACCGTCTCCCGGACCGTTTCCCCGCCCGCTCGCGGGTCTCGCCAAATCCGCGCATCCCTGCGCGTCCTCCCCCCCCCCCCCCCTCTCCGGGGCCCGTTGGCCGGGGCGGGCGGGGATGCGAACGGGCGCGGGCGATCGCCGTCGGGCGCCCCGACAGTTGGCAGCTAGATCTTGTCCCCGGCGCCGCCCGTCCTCCGATCTGCCGGGGCCCGATGCAAGTCTATTGCGGTTCGCCCCCGGCGCATCTCTCTCTCTCCCTCTCTCTCCCGTGGGGGGGGGGGGGGTCTGCTTTTGAACAGGTCCGCGCGAGGGCGGAGAAGCTTCTGTGTGACACACGGCGGCCGAGTACCCTGGAAAGGGGGCCCAACGCCGTGGCACCTCGGGGCGGTTGGGGCAGCCTTCCTCCCCTCCCCCTCCCCCCTTGCTGCCCTTCCCTCTGTTGCCCGCCGTCTGTTGGATCTATCTTTGTTTGCGGCTCGCGTGCTGTGCTCTCCTCCCCTGTTTTTTCTCCCGCCGCCTGGAGCGCGAAGCCGAGCGACATGTCGACCATCCAGGATCTGTGGGGGTCCCTGCCTGCAGGTCACCCCAACTTCCAGTTTGCTGCCTCCTCCTCGGCTTCTTCATCCTCCTCCTACTCGATGGTGCGTGTATGTGTGTATCTGTCTGTCTGTGTATCTGTGTATCTGTCTGTCTGTCTGTCTGTCTGTCTGTCTGTCTGTGTATCTGTGTGTCTGTCTGTGT